CCCCACACACCTACCGCCCCCTCCAGTGAGATGCCGCCTGAGGTTACCTCGTTATGGGGACACCTCTGGCTTTCACTATTACTGACGTACCAGGCCTTGTTCTATGCAGTGTCTCAGTGTGGAGGAGGTAATTTTGGTAGGTGTGCTTTATTTCCCCCACTGATGACTGGTGGATTAATGATCAAGAAGCAGCAGGAGAAATGGAGAAAGCCCAGATCCATACAATGGATGAAGATCCTTGCGTTGCTGTTCATCAAGTAGAGCTTCATCTTCAGCATAGAGAACAGTGAGAATCACAACTCTGGCCGCACGAGTCATGTGCTCTGTATCTTTTGTGGGTGGCCTGGGTCACAACGCTGTGACCGCCCAACTTTCTGTTTTTAAGTTTCAGAGGCTTGTTTCCGCCTGTCAGACCTCAGGTAAGTTCAGAACACAGGAAGGCTCTCCTAACCTCCTCAGCTCTAAAGTGTTTAATGTCACATGACACAGCTAAGGTGAGGACTTTCCCTCACTGTGCCCTGGAGAGAGTGCAGGGCCACTGCAAGGGTTAATTTTTTTTAAATAACTGGAGTTCTTTATTAAGTGATTTCACACTGGAGATATACTGCTATGAAACTCAAGGCACAGCAATTGTGTAAGCACAAGAATTGCACTTCTATATTTTAGCAGGAGCTGCAGAAAAAAAGTAATTTGTTATTTAACTATTAAATAGCAAATCTTCACTTTTGAGTTCAGGTCTTTTTCTCTGTCAGTATGATCTTTACTTTAGGAAAATAGTAAAATTCAACTCATTTTTGAGTTGTCATACAACAAATCTGCCACCAATCTGAATTATTTGTACTATGAGGCTGAGTAATCTACTCTTTATGAAGGGCTATGATTTGGGCCAACATGCAAAACCCAACTCCAAATATTCAGCATAGCAACAGAAAAACACTAATAACATAACACTAATTTACAATACAATAAAACTAACACATAACACTAATTTACAATACAAGTACCTCATGGATTCTCTGCACAGCTAAGGAGGACATTAATCAGCAGGATGAATAATGTGACCACAAAGTCTAACTATTACACCCAATTGTAAACTCAATTGTGAACTCAGTGACACATCCCAAAAATACATACATTGTTTGATACGGCGAGGGCTACATAACCAAATAATAGGTTAAAAGACATGTGAGGATGATATACAGTATATATGTATATATACACTCACACTATCTATATATACTGTACATAGATCCAGGAAACAAGCAAAACAGTTGCCTATAACAATGCTTAACACGGTATGAAAAACCTTCTGACATCTAGTTGCCATGTACAAAATCTTTATTGTTCTTTATTTAAATGTTTCTTAATCACCGTGGAGTGGCATAAATGCTTCAGACCGGCCCCGTGCTGTAGAGGGTCCCCTTGGACATACCGTCATGTATTAACAATTTACAAGATGCCAAACAGTAGGTGGAGTCCAGGTGGTCTGTCTTGCCCTAGATTATTCAACAAACCTTGATGGCAGCACACAGAGAAAATATTAATAAAGAATGTTTAAAAATACCATTATTTCACCTTCCCCTTGACTCCAATGCTAAAAAGATGAAATTTCACCAACATCTCTAAATTTTCCCAAGAATTTGAAGGGAAGTAAATACTCTCAATATTGCTCATTCCTAGTTTATAGTGCAACAGAAAAAAATAAATGCCTTGGTACATATCAAAGCTGGTTCAAGGCTGGCAGTGGATGGATCATAATAGGAAGTAAGTCCCTTATCCTATTTAGTATTGAGTTTCACACCACCAAACTAGCCAAACTTTTGAAATGAGACATGAGACATGACACTGAAATTTGTACAGCATGTAACCAATGTAAGAACTGTCTCTGTTTTACTCTCTGCTGACAAGCCTCAAGTACTCCCATCACAACTCAATACAACATGCAGGGATTGTAGTCCAGATACATGATTTCTCTAAATAAGCCCTGATAAAAGGTGTGTGTCTTGGACCCCT